GTCACTGGTATTAACCGTGATTGGGAATCGAACCCGGGTCGCCGGGTATGCAGCGCAGCACGCTAAATCGCTGCACTACTGCTCCCCCACCCCCGTCACCACCACCATCAACCCCACCATCACCACGACCACCATCACCACGACCACCATCACCACGACCAACACCCCCACGACCAACACCCCCACCATCACCACGACCACCACATGCACCATTACCACCCCCATCACACCCACCATTACCACGACCACCACCCCCATCACCTGTGTGACTCAGTGCTGTTGTAGTCGAGGGACAGGGCGAGCCGATTGTCTCCAATGCTTAGCGCTGTGCCCGGCTGCAGGTGAACGCCCTGAGGCTACTGACCCGATGGACACACACACACACATGACACATTACTGGGTAACACCGAGATTGTGTGTTAATGTGCGGCTGTCTACCAAAGATACTTGAAATTCCTAATCAGCCCTCAGTAAAGAAACGCTCTTCTTAAATAGCGTGCACCTGTGAAGGCCGGCATAGCACACAAGGGGGAGTGTGGCCAGCTCGACGCCGCCTTTGTCTCCCCCGGTGCCAATGTTTACACACCGCACCAGGTACTCATTTAAAGCTGCGTCGACGTAGGGGAGGCCCGGGACCAGTTCGGATATTTGCCAGCGATGCTGGCCGCGAGGGGGAATCAAACTCCCTTCGCCGGGTTCGTAGTGCAGTGCTATAACCACTTCACACAAACACAGAATAATGTGCCCAGAGACACACACCTCTGCGGTCTGGAGATGATGAAGTCGTATTTCCCCACGTGCATCTGCTGTGCAGAGAGTGGGGGCTCCGGCTATGGGTTTATGGCACCTGCAGTCAAGAACATTGCATTAACAAAGTACCAATCTCAATGGAAGTCGGTTTGCATTCAAACTGATGGGTTCCACACCCCATTAAAACCAATGAGTCTCATTACCCATTCAATCCAATAGGACTTATTACCCATTTTATCTCACTCAAAACCTATTTAATTCAATGGCAATACTTCCCCATTAAACCCAATGATACTCATTCCCAATGCAATCCGAAGGGACTCGGACCACACTCAATCCAATGGGACTCACCACTTCATATCCAGGATAGCGGCTGTGTCCTGTCGATGTAGCTCCACTATGCCTCCTTTCTTCTCGTCCACCTGATACAGCAACACTCTCCCCACCCTCTGTACGGGTGCTTCTGATGTACCCTGTGGTTGTCACAGCAATGCACAGCTTAGGACTTGGCAACAGCACCGGGCAGTAGTGGCGGCTACGCGTGCCTGTAATCCAGCACTGTGGAGGTGAGGGTTGCTGGATCACGCAAACATTGTGAGACTCCCTTACTGTGGGCTTGTCAGGGGAGGTGGTAAAGCAAAATCAGAATCAGAATCTTAATTTAGACTGGAGATATCCAATGAGCTTTGAAGATCTTTCTCACAGATGTCCAGTAGTGGCGGGTCAGCAAGTTACAACTCTCAACTAAACAATTTTTTATTTTACCAGGGAAGGCCCACTGAGCTGTACAGCTATTTTTCACAAGCGACCTGGCCAACAAGTGATAGCCCAACCAAGTGGCTTATGACGTGGAAATTTATATCAACCAAATATTCTAAAAGCATTTTTCTAAATGTGGATGGAAAAATCGGAGGACCTGGAGAAAAATCCACGCGACCACTGGGAGAAACACTGAGAACATGGGCTAAATCTCCAGGTCTGCGTCTCTCTCGGGCGGTTCACAATGGCCGTGTTGGTAATGCTGAAACAGCAATGGTGACACCATTCGTTCAAGGTTCAGGCCCCTGGGTTTGAGTCCCCCTCTCTATCTCTCTCTCAGGGGGGTTCATAAACGGCTGTGCCAGACACCCTGAGCTAGTAACACAAAATCCTGGGTTTGAGCCCCGATGAGTCTGGGTGTCTCCCCACTGTCTCAGTAGATTCAGAATCAGAATATTTATTTATACTGCAGAGAAATCCGATGAGTTATAAAGCTCTTTTTTTACAGATCTCCAGTTGTGAGCACGGGTAAGAACGTTAGATCAACAAACAATTACAAAAACACGACAGGAGTGCAAAGTACAAGAAATATAAAAAAATCACCCAAACACAAATACAACTCGAAACCATCCCCATCCTACCAGACAAACCCACTGAGGCATTAAATTGTTTTTAAGATGCAACCTGGCCACAAATGACAGCTCAACAAAGTGGCCCATAATTTTGTCATTTATAGCAGAAAAATAATCTAAGTAATCTCAATGCATGGTTCTAAATGTGGAGGGAAAAACCGGAGGACCCAGAGAAAAAAAATCCACGCGACCACGGGGAGAGACACACGCGGAGAGACACACACAAACTCCAAATATACAGCAGGCGTCAGGGTCATTATTGAACCCACGACCTCCTGTATACCAAGCGAGGTAGTTAACATCTCCTAGCCACCATGACGATTATGACAGAGAGAGACACGCAAACTCCAAATATACAGGCATCAGAGTCGGGATCAAACCTACGACCTCCTGCATACCAGGCAAGGAAGTTAACATCTCGCTACCGTGGCACCCCTATAGTTACAACAATACAAAAAAAAACAATACAGCTCCAAAATAAGAAAAGGTAAATAAGTCACTAAAATAAATGAATATAAAATATATGAGAACAGCTTGCTCAAGTACATAAATTCCTGAGAATAGGTTTTCCCCTATTTTCTGGCAACAGATGTTAAAACACCAAACTGAAACCTTTTACAAGGAATCATGTCTGCATTAACCACAATACAAGTGGTCAGAATGCAAACAAAAAACATACTCTGATAATATATGCATTGTCTTTGAAACTGATTGGTCCACACCAGATACAGCTTTCTTTTGAGCCTAGTCCCAAACAGTGTTAGACCAGAGGACGCCAAAAGGCGTAGAGCACAAAGACAAGGTCCCATGATGTAGCTGCTCACCCCGAGCTCTCATTACTCTGACACTGCTTGTCTTTTAAAACGCATAACTCCAGTGGCTTCCTAATATAGGGAGAAAGAGCGTTCAGATGGCCACAGAAGCGCATCTGAAAGCGTGCGAGGGGGCGACCGTCTGCTTGCCTCTTCTGTGGGTTTGGAGATCTGGTAGGTGCCGCAAGCAAGCAGGGTTTCATGCCCAGGCAACGGGCACCACTCCACAGAGTCGGCGCTCAGCTCCGTGTCGACAACGTGCAGCGAATGGCACCGGTGGTGCCGTTTCGACCCCAGCGTCTCCTCCCCGTAACTCCCCACTCCGACAGCGCACTCCTCACTCATGGCTCAGACCTGAAGAACAATACGAATGTGGCGCAGCTACGGTGTGGGTTTATAATGGGTCCATCGTATAAACGTACTCTGCATTATAACACGAACTCTTTCCCTTGAAAGTACGCACTATTACTGCAGTAATACAAGGTGATCCATGTATATCTATCCCACCACAATAACTAGGAGAAATCATAGAGAAAACAACGTTTTATTTGAAATACTCTACACATCTCCCATCAATCCCAATGACACCTATTAGATGTGTTGTTTTTTCTGGACTATAAGATGCACCCCCTTCCCCCACCCCTCCCCTGTATCTGAAAGCAAAGTTGAGTGAGCATCTTATAATGGGCATTGTCTCTTCCAGAAGACATTCTTTAATCTAGCTGTTTGGATTGATCTGATATAAGCCAGTTTTCCATATGGACACATGACCCAGAGGGACAGCAGACACCATCAGATGCTCAGAATCATCTTCCAGAAGAAATCATTGCACAATTAGTGCGTTTCGAGTAATGTTGTTCTATTTTTTAACCAAGGCACCTACATAAATTAACATTCTCCGATCGGGTAACTCGTACAATAATTCCATGAGCAAATCAGTTGAATCCCCTGGCTCTCCATGTACTCCAGATTATAAAACACGATTGTTTTCAAAATAGTCCAAAAAGTTTGGGCAGTCGTCTTATCGTCTGGGAAAAATGATTTTGTATTCTGCTGCACTGCCCTCTGCTCAAAAATACAGCCCTTTGTCACTCCACTGCTGACCAAACTCAACTTAACTTTATTCTTGGTTCTTTCGGTAAAGTCACGTAGAAGAGAAATAATAAAATAATAAAATTTTAACATAACAAAATTCTTACGTTTCGGCCACAACGCAAGCAGCCGTCTTCAGGTGAAGAACAGGGCTGTCCGAAAGACAGCGTCCTAATGTCTTTCGGACAGCCCAGTTCTTCACCTGAGGACGGCTGCTTGCGTTGTGGCCGAAACGTCGTGAGAATTTTATTATTTTAATATGGTATATTTTATTATTTTATTATGGTATATTTTATTATTTCCCTTCTACGTGACTTAACCGAAATAACCAAGAATATCAATCCCTGCATTCACGAAAGCTTTAAATCGAAATTCCACTTAACAATTTTTTTTATCAGGTGAGCTGGTCATCACAAATAGCTCAACGAAGTGGGCTTATCATATGGAAATGTGTAGCAGCCAAATGTCCGAAACGCACGTTTCTAAATGTGGAGGGTGAAAAACTAGAGGACCTGGAGAAGAATCCACCTGGAGATGGAGAGACATTGCAAACTCTGAATAAACAGCAGGCGTCAGGGTCGGAATCGAAACCATTTCCTCCTGGACAGCAGGCGAGAGAGATCTCGCCTTCACTGTGTTAGTCTCTACGAGTTAAAGATGAGAGGTCGTTTGGTTTCGTGCGGAGTGCATCCTGCAATGCAACCAGATGAGAGCCATTACGATCCATTATTACGATCGACGGAATTTATTTAAACACAATCGATAATTATTCCTTCATTCTTAGATTGATTTCTCTATTCTCAATACTCGGAAAAGTATAAACAAAGATCAATAGTGTTACAATGATAACTGTGCACGCGATAATTGAAGTTAATTGGTAAAACATTTACTTTTCCTGTAATCTTGAATCGTATATTAACATTATAAAATAAAAAAAACTACGGAATCGAAACAATCGATTCAGGACTGGGAATCGATTCAATACATTCGCCACTCCGGCGCGAGGCTTGTAAGTAATTAAACCAAACGCATCTGACGACTCCGGCACCATTAACATCAATTGCCCTTGTGAAAACTTCACGCACAGACAAGTCTTAGACGTTTAAGATAATTACATTTTTTTGTTGCTGTTCGTGAATTCTGGTAGGCCTCGAGTGGGCCTCGGCGCGGCCTAGGCAAGGGCCTAGGCCGCGCGAACTGAACGACTTGTGCAAAGTTTTCGTTCGCCGTCGCCAATTAAACGAACGAGCGCGCATCATCTGCGCCCACGGAATACAAAATTGCGCCGCGATTTTGTATATTAATGTACAAATACAATTCGTGATGGAAAACTTTGCATTTCTACCGAACCTGAAAGTCGGAGGGGGGTGACGGCCTCCCGGAAGTGGTTGTCGCAACCGGCTCGGAACCGGATGCCGTCGATTTAAAGGGAACCGATTCCTGCCCCATTGACTTGTATGGGAAGTCGGTCCCATTGGCTTGTATGGGAAGTCAGTCCCATTGGGTTGTATGGGAAGTCGGTCCCATTGGGTTGTATGGGAAGTCGGTCCCATTCGGTCCCATTGGGTTGTATGGGAAGTCGGTCCCATTCGGTCCCATTGGGTTGTATGGGAAGTCGGTCCCATTCGGTCCCATTGGGTTGTATGGGAAGTCGGTCCCATTGGCTTGTATGGGAAGTCAGTCCCATTGGGTTGTATGGGAAGTCGGTCCCATTGGGTTGTATGGGAAGTCGGTCCCATTCGGTCCCATTGGGTTGTATGGGAAGTCGGTCCCATTCGGTCCCATTGGGTTGTATGGGAAGTCGGTCCCATTCGGTCCCATTGGGTTGTATGGGAAGTCGGTCCCATTCGGTCCCATTGGGTTGTATGGGAAGTCGGTCCCATTCGGTCCCATTGGGTTGTATGGGAAGTCGGTCCCATTGGCTTGTATGGGAAGTCGGTCCCATTCGGTCCCATTGGGTTGTATGGGAAGTCGGTCCCATTCGGTCCCATTGGGTTGTATGGGAAGTCGGTCCCATTGGGTTGTATGGGAAGTCGGACCCATTCGGTCCCATTGGGTTGTATGGGAAGTCGGTCCCATTGGGTTGTATGGGAAGTCGGTCCCATTCGGTCCCATTGGGTTGTATGGGAAGTCAGTCCCATTGGGTTGTATGGGAAGTCGGTCCCATTCGGTCCCATTGGGTTGTATGGGAAGTCGGTCCCATTCGGTCCCATTGGGTTGTATGGGAAGTCGGTCCCATTCGGTCCCATTGGGTTGTATGGGAAGTCGGTCCCATTCGGTCCCATTGGGTTGTATGGGAAGTCGGTCCCATTCGGTCCCATTGGGTTGTATGGGAAGTCGGTCCCATTGGGTTGTATGGGAAGTCAGTCCCATTGGGTTGTATGGGAAGTCAGTCCAATTGGGTTGTATGGGCAGTCGGTCCCATTGGCTTGTATGGGAAGTCGGTCCCATTGGGTTGTATGGGAAGTCGGTCCCATTGGGTTGTATGGGTAGTCAGTCCCATTGGGTTGTATGGGCAGTCCCACTGTTTTGCAGCAGATACAAATATTTTATCTCCCTCCCCAAGGTTCACAATGGCCGACCAAGGAACGCCTGTGCCGTCGACCAATCGGAAGAGGCGACGTGGCAAGGAGCCGGAGCCTGCGCCTCCCATGGCCAGTCCCAACAGCAGCAGCAGCAGCAGCCATTTCTCACGGAGCCTACCCGCGTGCGGGGTGGAGCGACTGGGATTTCGTTTTTTCAACCAGCCTTGCGAGCAGCTCGCAAGGGCGATGCTGGGGCAGGTAAAGAGGCATAAGGGGCCGTCCATAAATGACGTCACACGATTTTGGACGATTTTTGACCCCCCCTCCGTCACACGGCGTCACAAAAAGTCAGACCCCCTTCAAATGACGTCACAAAGCTCTGCCCCCCCCCCAAAAATATAAAACTTGCTTCAAATCGCGTTAAACTATTGTCATTCTAGTGCGTCATTAATGTGCCGTTGCACTCTGAAGTTGTAGGAGAAAACATTTACTAAAAAGTTTATTTAATTAAGTAGAACGTGTTGTCTATATTTATTTAAAGTTGCGCATTTTGATGTGACGTCACATTTCTCAAACTCCCCCCCCCCTCGTCACACATCGTCACAAATGTCTGACCGGCTCCTAAGACGGGTTGAGCTACGTGGGGAACTAACCTGTAATTATATTGGTAGGGTCCCTTCCCAATGACCCCATGTGTGCCTGTGGGTGAAGGAACAGCCAAAGCAATGTCTCTCACGCCACTGCCGACACGAGGGGGTGCTAGACAGCCAGACTCATTCAGGCACTCTGATAGTGGGTGTGCGACAGCGTACTCTGGGGTGTGCCACGGTGGCTAGGAGATGTTAACTACCTCGCCTGGTATATAGGAGGTCGTGGGTTCGATCCCGACCCTGACGCCCATTGCATATTTGGAGTTTGCGTGTTTCTCTCATCATCATCACGGTTGCTAGGAGATGTTAACTACCTCGCCGAGTATCCAGGAGGTCGTGGGTTTGATCCCGACCTTGACGATGTCTGTATATTTCGAATTTGCGTGTCTCGTATCTCCCAGTGGTCGCGTGGATTTTTCTTCGGGTCCTCCGGTTTTTCCCTCCATATTTGGAAACATTGTCACGCTTTTAGAGTTGTGGCTATAAATGTCCACATGATGGTAAGCCACTTCGTTGAGCTATCATTTGTGGCCAGGTCGCTTCTGAAAAAGAGATACATAGCTCAGTGGACCTTACCTGGTAAAATAAAAATAGTTGAGTTTCTAGTACAGTCTTTAATCTATAATTATATTTGCTTTTTCGCAGAGCGGTTTACACGCGATAAGCGACTTAGATCTCATCTCGGCACGTTTGAAAGGTCACCCCCGAGTGGCAGTTGTCGCTGTGCAGCACAAGGCGACTTCAGCGCCTGGCCTGCAAACTGCCATTAGTCTGCCAGTAGGGGGTAAAGTTGCTTTTCGATTTAAAGCTTTCGTGACTGCAGGGATTCATCTTCTTGGTTCTTTCGGTAAAGTCACGTAGAAGGGAAGTAATAAAATAATAAAAATAAAACATAATAAAATAATTCTCACCTGAAGACGGCTGCTTGCGTTGTAGCCGAAACGTCGTGAGAATTATTTTATTTTATTATGTTTTATTTTTGTTATTGTATTACTTCCCTTCTACGTGACTTTACCGAAAGAACCAAGAAGAGTAAAGTTGCTGTTATGTGTTATTCCAATTGAGTAATTTGCGGGTAATTTTTCGACCATTGGAATGTTTTGTCAATACGAGCTACATTGGATGTGTTTTCAACTCTGGGAGGAAACCCGTGCAGAACAAGGGGAGAACATACACACAATACCACCTCACGAAGACAAAGATACCCCGTGTAGCCTTAACAGACTATTGGGACAAGTGCTGTTAGCAAGCAGCGCCTATGAAGACCGGTACGGCACACGAGGGAGTGGATGGCCAGCACCACGCCCGGCGCCTTTCCCTCATGGAGTGGAGATGTTTACACACCACACCAGATTCTGATTTTGAGACTGAGTCGACCTAGGGGAGGCCCAGGACCAGTTCAGATAATCGTCACCAGTGTTGACCATGAACGGTAATCGAACTCGGGTCACCGGGTTCATAGCACAGCCGCTATTCACACAAAGACATACAGACATATGCAATCGCTCACACACAAAGATACAAACTCCCAGAGGTGGGACAAAGTCATTGTTATGCAAGTCCAAGTCGAGTCTGAAGTCATCAAATTCATGACTCGAGTCTGACTCGAGTCCAAGTCACATGACTCGAGTCCACACCTCAGAGGTGGGACAAAGTCATTGTTATGCAAGTCCAAGTCGAGTCTGAAGTCATCAAATTCATGACTCGAGTCTGACTCGAGTCCAAGTCACATGACTCGAGTCCACACCTCAGAGGTGGGACAAAGTCATTGTTATGCAAGTCCAAGTCGAGTCTGAAGTCATCAAATTCATGACTCGAGTCTGACTCGAGTCCAAGTCACATGACTCGAGTCCACACCTCTGCAAACTCCACAAAGGAATCTAACCCAGGCTCTTCTCGCTGTGAGGCACGAGTGTGACCACTGTGCCGCATCGTAACAAAACAACTTAGCGGCCCATACTCCACCTTCTTGCCGTATGCGTGAAGAACATATAAACATTTCGATTTAAAGCTGTCGTGACTGCAGGGATTCATCTTCTTGGTTCTTTCGGTAAAGTCACGTAGAAGGGAAGTAATAAAATAATAAAAATAAAACATAATAAAACAATTCTCACGACGTTTCGGCTACAACGCAAGCAGCCGTCTTCAGGTGAAGAATGGGACACTACCAAGCTAGGAGCTTATATATACGCTGGGTTGGAGGTGCAACATATAAACATCCCATCAGCCACACAGACTTCTGGGAATGTATAATTTCGCCAGCATTGATTCAAGACGAGCAAAACTTCAGCAATCGATTCAGGAAACCAACCCAGATCCTTCTTGCTGTGCGGCACAAGTGTTCGCACTGCGCTGCCCTGCCGCCGATGTGTAAGCGCTACGTATGTTGAACTTATTTTGCACCGCACGTTGCCAACCGCGTTCATTGGAGGTGCGGAGGAAGGACAACACACTAGACACAAAAAGCAGTTCTAAAGAAGTGCAATCTCTCATTTACTTGATACAGCAGTCGTGGCTGTGACGGTACCTCCTGAAGACGGAAGCTTGTGTTGCCTCCGAAACGTCGTGATTTTTTTTTTTTTATTTTATTTTACTTTCTAATGTTTTTTTTTTACCTACGTGACTTTACCGAAAAAACCTAAGAATAATAATTCTAAAGAAGTGTTTAATCTAAGTGACTGATAGATGCATAGCTCGAGTGGCTTCCTAATATCGGAAGGAAGAGCGTTTCAGACGGTCGTAGGAGCGCATCTTAAAGGGCGCGATGCTGGTGACCGTTTTTGATGGATGGCTGAGCCAAAAGCCGCCGCCGCTGCACGAATGACTGGAATTCGCATCACGATTCGTGTCCGTTGATGAGATAAACTATTCAACTATTATTTTTATTTTACCAGGTAAGGCTCACTGAGCTATGTAGCCCGTTTTCGGAAGCAACCTTGACCACAAATGATTGCTCAACGAAGTGGCTTATCACGTGGAAATTTATAGCAGCCAAATACTCTAAACGCGTGTTTTTAAGATGGAGGGAAAAACTGGAGGATCCGGGGAAAAATCCGCACGACCACATGCAAACCCACGACCTCCTGTATACCAGGCGAGGTAGTTAACATCTCAATGAGCAAACGTATCACGGTTCATCTGTGGCTGAGCATTTTGTGCGCGCGCGTATCGACCGCGACCCTGTACCCCCCCCCCCCACCCCTGCACTTCGCCAGATCCTGGTTCGCCGCGTGCCCGGAGTGGAGGGGGCCCTGCGGGGGCGCGTGGTAGAGAGCGAGGCGTACCCGGGGGGTCTGGACGAAGCGTCGCACTCGCGCCACGGCCGCCGCACGCCCAGGAACGTGGCGATGTTCATGCCCCCCGGCACGCTCTACGTGTACCGCATCTACGGGCTGCACTGCTGCCTCAACGTCTCGAGCCGCGGTGAGTTGTGAACATTCTCACTCCCCTCCTAATGCCCCTGCTGGACATCTGGCTGGCGCAAACAATTTCCCAAGCTCTGAGGTCCTATATTTGTATACAGTTGGGTCTCAGGGTCCTGAGACTCGACACTGGGTGAAGAGCCGGCCCAGGACACGCTGGTGGGACGATGTCGATCGACTGGCCTGGGAACGCCTGGGAATTCCCCAGGAAAAGCTCGAGTCTGTGTATAGTAATGTAGTGTATAGTCGTGTATAATAGTATATGGTGTAGTGTCTAGTAGTATAGTTTATAGTGTAGTAGTGTATAGTAGTATATCGTGTAGAAGTGTATAGTAATGTAGTGTATAGTGTAGAAGTGTATAGTAATGTAGTGTATAGTCGTGTATACTAGTATAGTATATGGTGTAGTGTCTAGTAGTATAGTTTATAGTGTAGTAGTGTATAGTAATATATCGTGTAGAAGTGTATAGTAATGTAGTGTATAGTCGTGTATACTAGTATAGTATATGGTGTAGTGTCTAGTAGTATAGTTTATAGTGTAGTAGTGTATAGTAATATATCGTGTAGAAGTGTATAGTAATGTAGTGTATAGTGTAGAAGTGTATAGTAATGTAGTGTATAGTCGTGTATACTAGTATAGTATATGGTGTAGTGTCTAGTAGTATAGTTTATAGTGTAGTAGTGTATAGTAGTATATGGTGTAGAAGTGTATAGTAATGTAGTGTATAGTGTAGTAATGTATAGTAATGTAGTGCATAGTCGTGTATACTAGTATAGTATATGGTGTAGTGTCTAGTAGTATAGTTTATAGTGTAGTAGTGTATAGTAGTATATGGTGTAGAAGTGTATAGTAATGTAGTGTATAGTGTAGTGTATAGTAATGTAGTGCTGGAGTCTGTCGCCAGGGAATGGGAGGTCTGGACAGCCACTACTCAACACGATGCCGCCACGACCCTCACCAGGACAAGCGGACTGAGAAACGAACGAACAGTTGATCATCGATTATCCGGCGTGATCTAACCCCAAAACCTTTATTTACTACTATAATGAGCCAAGAATGTCTGTGTATCCCGCGTGTCACGTCATTCCACGTCGGCCAGCCCCCCTCATTAATAATGATGAACAGGTGACGTCCTTCACATGGACCCTCCCCTCATTAGTAGGCATGAGCAGGTGACATCACTCCACATGGAGCACCCCCCCCCCCACCTCATTAATAATAATTAGCGGGTGACGTCACTCCACATGGGGGGGCAAGGCGCCTCTTCCCTCCTACTCAGCGTCAACTTACAACCCTCACTACAAAGGCAGAACCCTCACGTTACGCGATCTCCGTAACGCTATTGACACATGGAAGTAAAAAGGACGTCATGATGAACAAGGGATTATAACCTTTAAATGAAATAAGTCTGTGTCACCGCGGCATTACAAATTGCACATAAATGGATGGAATGAATATCACGTCGCGGTCTGCTTTTGGCTTTCAAGTTTCAAATTTAAAATTTACTGCAATACACCCGTCCTTGGACGGGAAAAAGGTTAATTATGAATAATATTGGTTAAATATAAAGAGACAATTAGACATAGATCTGCCATTCACCCCGCCCCCACACCTCATCTCTTTCTCCCTCTCCCCTCGTGCACAGGAGAGGGCTCAGCCGTTCTTCTCCGTGCTCTGCAGCCACTGGAGGGAGTAGCGACCATGCGTTTGCTCCGCCAGAAGCCGCAACAGGCCAACACTAAATGTGGCCGTGGCCATGTTGCCAGATAGAAAGCTCTGCAATGGCCCCGGCAAGCTGTGCCAAGCCCTGTCCATCAGCTGTGCCCTCGACCGCACGGACGCCGCCTCGGAGGACTCGGAGCTGTGGTTCGAGAGGGGTGAGGGCGACGTGGGGGAGGAATCGACGGTGGCGGCGAGGAGAGTGGGGATCACCTCGGCCGGAGAGTGGGCCGAGAGACCGTGGCGGTTTTACATCCGTGGCAATGAATGTGTGAGCGTGGTCGACAAGACAGCTGAGCAGTTGGCACTGAGGGTGACCCAAAAACAGGATACCGGAGATCAGGGTTAGGGGAGAGATTTGTTTTGAGACTCAGCTCCAGGAGACCGGGTCTCAGGGTCTTGAGACTCGGCTCCAGGACACCAGGCATCAGGATCTTGAAACTCGGCTCCAGGAGACCGGGTCTCAGGGTCTTGAGACGTGGCACCAGGAGACCAGGTCTCAAGGTCTTGAGTCTCGGCTCCAGGAGACTGGGTCTCAGCGTCTTGAAACTCGGCTCCAGGAGACCGGGTCTCAGGGTCTTGAGACTCGGCACCAGGAGACCGGGTCTCAGGGTCTTGAGACTCGGCTCCAGGAGACCGGGTCTCAGGGTCTTGAGACTTGGCACCAGGAGACCGGGTCTCAGCGTCTTGAAACTCGGCTCCAGGAGACCGGGTCTCAGGGTCTTGAGACTTGGCACCAGGAGACCGGGTCTAAGGGTCTTGAGACTCGGCTCCAGGAGACCGGGTCTCAGGGTCTTGAGACGTGGCACCAGGAGACCGGGTCTCAGGGTCTTGAGACTTGGCACCAGGAGACCGGGTCTAAGGGTCTTGAGACTCGGCTCCAGGAGACCGGGTCTCAGCGTCTTGAAACTCGGCTCCAGGAGACCGGGTCTCAGGGTCTTGAGACTTGGCTCCGGGGTTTAATGCAATCATACTCCAGCATATACTTTATTGAACTTAAATGCTGTTTTATTGCATCTCAATAAAGAATTTATTTTGCATCAATAATGAACGTGGTCTAAAAACATCACGGGGTGTATTTAATATAGTTACTTGTACGCATTAGATGTACAGGGTGATCCATTTGTAGAATCCACAGATTTATATTGACTCTCCGACTCGCCTATCAACAGCTGATTGACCATCGTGACGGCGAAGAAAGGAATGGACTGGGCCAAGATGTCGGGGATGAGAGGGGAGGAGGGAAGAGAGAGAGGGAAGCAACGAACAGTAGGTAGCACAGAGCGGAGTCTGTTTTCACAGGGGAAGGCGGTGGGGAAGAGGGGTAGGGATTCAGAGTGGGTGTGGCTACACAGAAGTCACGTGATGTGCGGGAGTCTTGGGCTAATTTAGAGATAGTGGCTTTATCCATATTCATTTCCGTGGGGTGGCTATAAACGGATCAACCTGTGCATTGTATAGACTCTTTATATGTATCGCGTATACGTTCCGCATGTGTCGATGGAAGAATATGGCACCAGGTGCACACGGGGGCCATCAACCTTGGTTCCTGCTGTTAAAATATCCCTGCAGAGTCACAAAGCGGTACTCATGTTATCTACCCAGTCTGTGCAGTCCTCATCTGAGTGTATGGTGTGGTGTGTGTGAATGTGTGTACATGTGTGTGTCCGTCTTTGTGGGGGGAGCGGTGGTGCAGCGGTTAGCGCCGCTGCACTGTGAAACCCAGCGACCTGAATTCGATTCCCACTCACAGCCAACATTGGTAACAAATATCCGAACCGGTTCCTGTGTCTTTGCTAGGTAGACTCTGCCTAAAGTGAGTACCTGGTGCGGTGTTTAAACATGCGCCCTGCAGGTTGTTATATCTGCTCACTAACATCACTTGCCCCAAATAGTCTGAAAAGGCTATATGGGGGAACGTTGTATTTGAATGTGTGTACATATATACTGCATATGATGAATGGTTGTCTAATCATATGTATATGACAGGGTAATGTACATACATGTAACTATGAACATTTTAAAATGTTTCACAATGCCCTTGATAATTATAATATGTGTATATATAACATTTAAGGTACGGTATATATTAAAATATGAATGTTTAGAGATTGGTCTCAAAGTAAAGTATCTTTTATATCATAAATCATTATGTGTAAACAGCAGTTCCTTGTGAGTCCTCTACTCAAGCAGGCGATTGGTGATGGACACACGGTGGTAGAGTGTCTCTCTCTCTCGCAAAGGATTCATAATGGCCGTATCACGGCTGGAATCCTGGGTTCAAGTCCTGGGTCTAGATGTCTGTCTCTTTCAAAGAGTTCATTCAGTCCGTGCCGAACGGCACTGAGCCAGAACCACCAAGATGCTTGGTTCAAGCCCCGTCTGCGTTTCTCTCAAAGGGTTCGTAATGGCCGCATCAGATCAGTCGTATGGAGCCAGCACAGCTTATATCGTGGATTAAAGGTTTTGGATGTCTTTCACGTTCACAATGGCCAAGGCGGAGGTGCTGGCTTCAAGATTTGAGATTTAAGGCTGGGTGGCTTCACTATCACCACGACCACCATCACCACCACGACCACCACACACAGCCATCATGATCACCACCACCATTGCCATTACTACCATCACAACCATAACCACCACAATCACCATAATCACCACCAAAACTGCAACCACCACCATCCTCACCACCACCATTACGTCCACCATCTCTGTTGATCACAATCATTTTCAGGATCACCATCAGCAAAACCACCATCAATAATCACCATAGTTTTCATGCCCACCACTCTCACCACCATGACCACCACCACCATCATCACCATTCATCGCCACCACCACTACCACTACCATGACCACTACCACCACCATTCATCGTCACCATGACCACCACCATCATCACCATTCATCGCCACCACCACTACCACCACCATGACCACTACCACCACCATTCATCGTCACCAGCACCACCACCACGACCACCACCACCCTCTAGTCGTGAAACCTCTGCAGGAGGTCGCAGGTCTTCCTGTCCACCACCTCGTAGAGCTTCCGGGCCCGGCGCTCGCTCACGGCTCTCACGTAGCTGTCCGGGTAGAGCACGGCGATGCCCTCCTGCACCTCGCCCATCACCAGCAAGGGGCCCGCCTCCGCGCTGGTGATGTTGGGGCACGGGCAGCCCCAGTCCACCTGCAGCATTGTGATCTCCAGCAGCTTGATGTTGAACGCCTTGAGGCCCATCTTGTCGTCCTTGAGCACCTCGTCGACCGTGAAGCGCACGAGGCCCGCGTCCGTGCCATCGTCAACCACCTCGAGCATCCGCCCGACGATGGCGAAGTCGCTGCGGCAGAAACTCGGCACGATTTTGTTCTTCGTCCTGCACGGCCGGCAAATGGATGAAGACGACGCCGCCGCCGAGGACGCCGAGAAAGACGAAGAGGAGGAGGATGAGGAGGCCGGCGGCGAGCCGACGGAGGTGCCGGAGGTCAGGGGGCACGCGCGCTCGCACGCCGAGCGGCTCGCGAAGCTGTTGCCGTTGCCCTCGCAGCCCCCGTAGAGGAAGGTGGCGCAGCGCTTGCCCAGCGGGTTGTAGCTCCACCGCGTCTCCCACGCCTTGCAGGGGCCCTGCACGGGAGGCAGCGAGCACAGGCGCGCCGTCTCGTTGACGCACGCAGCGCGGCAGTCCTCGTGCGTCTCGAACGCGTTGCTGTGGCCTTCGACGACGGTCGTGGTGGTGGTGCCAGACGGGCCTCCTGTCGATGCTGCTGCGGCTGCCGAAGATGAAGATGATGATGATGGAGACGATCCCAATGCATCGTCGTCACCGCTGTCAGCACCATCAACACCGCCACCACCACCAGATAATGACAGTGAAGAAAATGGGGAGGGTCTTCTATTGAGACCGCCACCATCAGCAGCACCAGTGGCAGCAGCAGCGGCGGCAGCGCCCCACGCTTGTCCAAAATTGTCACCTTGAGCAGACGCTGCGGCTCGTGGTGGAGACGCAGCACCTTGTGGAGGCCTGCCTCCTGCAGCTCCTTGTACGAAGCCCATGTGTCCTCCTCCTCCTCCACCACTGCTTGATGCCGATCTCCTGCAGTCGCCCCGGAGGAACGTGTAGCACCCGTTGCGCCGCGCATCATAGAACCAGAAAACGTGCTGATTGCCTCCGCAGCCGGCGTAGCGGTCCGCCGGCTGATGACAAAAGTCCTGCTGATGAGTCTGGTGATGCTGCTGCTGGTGGTTGCTGTGGTGATGAAGATGATGTTGATGATGGTGATGGCTGTGGTGGTGGTTGTTGCTGTTGTGGCCAGACGATGACGAAGAGGAGGAAGAGGAGGAGGAGGACGCGGGAGGAAATGGGATGACGGAGAGAGTGAAGCTGGCCCGGACGGCGCCGGCGCGGTTCGACACGAGGCACGTGTAGCTGCCGCTGTCCTCCTGGCGCGCGTTGTAGATGACCAGCTGCCCGATGTTGGTCACCACGGCGTTGCCGTACACGTGGTCGGGCCTCATCACGATCACCGCGTCCGCCCCGGAGGGGCCTGGTCCAACCAACTCGGGAGCCTCGCCGCCAGCACCACCAGCAGCATCACCACCAGTAGCACCACCAGCATCACCACCACCAGCACCACCACCGCCACCAGCAGCACCACCACCAGCAGCACCATCACCAGCACCACCACCAGCAGCACCACCACCAGCACCACCACCGCCTCTTGTTGCACCTCTTGCCCCTCCTGCTGCTGCTGCGCTGGTGGCAGCGGCGCTGCTGCTGCCGGCGCCGTGCCGGCTCTGTGGGTGCTGCAGCTGCTTCTCCCACGTCACCTCGGCCTTGGAGCGAGTTCCAATACCACACACGAAGCTCACCGTGCCTCCGGCGCGGATCACCTGAGCGGAGAAAGACGCACCAGTGGAGGTCTATTGGGTTCAGTGTGAGTCTATGCGTTCAATGTGAGTCTATGGGGTCAATGTGAGTCTATGGGTTCAGCGTGAGTCTATGGGTTCAGCGTGAGTCTATGGGGTTCAGTGTGAGTCTATAGGTTCAGTGTGAGTCGATGCGTTCAATGTGAGTGTATGGGTTCAGTATGAGTCTATGGGGTTCAGTGTGAGTCTATGGGTTCATCTTACCTGGTGGACTGGGTTCGACAGGAGAACGGGGGCCACGACGTCTTCTGCCGGGGCCCGGGGAGGTTCATCATGGCCCAGTCTTCCGGAGTCTGGCTGGGCGGTAGTGGCGGGTGTGGGAGAGTTGATTGAAGTGGCCTCTGAACCTCCGAGGGATTGGTTCGATATCTGCGTGCTGGACTCGGAAGAGGCAGCTGACCAGGACAGTTGAAACCTAGGGGTTGGAGTCAGCGTCGGGTTAAGGCAATGATAGTGTAATGACAGTATCGCTATCTAGCGGCCTTAGGTGCTATGTGCATGGGTGCAGCATAAGATGACACACATGCGAGCGACCACAAGGGGAGGATAACTAGGCCAACAAGGGTCAAGAGGTCATAGATCTGGAAGCTCCCGGAACCCGCGAGAAAGCACGAGAAGAGGGGCGTGTCCAGGGTCGGAGCTTGGCCATGCTGGGTGAATATAAGTGGGAGGCGAGCGGGGTTGCTGTGGGGGTTCGGGGTCCTGGCTGTCGTCGCTGTCGTCTCTTTGTTGCCGTCGTCGCTGTGTCGTCAGTCGTCTACATAGCCTTCGTCGCCGTCGTCACTAGAGAGTCAGCCAGCTATATAGTTGTACGTCACCGTCGTTGCTATATGGTCGACTTAGCTATAATTCAGTCAGCGCTGTTGTTACTCTGTGACCATGTCGCCAAAAGTATTCAGACTTAAATAAGGAACGCTATACAAGTCGTGTCTGAAGACGTCTCATTACATTAGTATGTGTAAATATCTATACTGTATTCTCATTGTTTAGACTTTTATAATTTGATGTTGCTGTAGAGTAACGTGACGATGGTGCGTTTAGTGGCAGATTAGTGTGTATCTATGTGTCTCTATGTGTCTCTGTGTATCTCTATGCATCTCTACGTATCTCTATGTATCTATGTATCTCTATGTGTCTCTACGTATTTATATATCTCCATGTGTCTCCTCTATGCATCTCTTTGCATCTCTATGCATCCCTACGCATCTCTATGTATCTATGTATCTCTATGTGTCTCTACGTGTTTCTATATCTCCATGTGTCTCCTCTATGCATCTCTTTGCATCTCTATGCATCCCTACGCATCTCTATGTATCTATGTATCTCTATGTGTCTCTACGTATTTCTATGTCTCCATGTGTCTCCTCTATGCATCTCTTTGCATCTCTATGCATCCCTACGCATCTCTACGTATCTCTATGTATCTCTATGTGTCTCTACGTATTTCTATGTCTCCATGTGTCTCCTCTATGCATCTCTTTGCATCTCTATGCATCACTACGCATCTCTACGTATCTCTATGTATCTCTATGTGTCTCTACGTATTTCTATGTCTCCATGTGTCTCCTCTATGCATCTCTTTGCATCTCTATGCATCACTACGCATCTCTACGTATCTCTATGTATCTCTATGTGTCTCTACGTATTTCTATATCTCCATGTGTCTCCTCTATGTATCTCTTTGCATCTCTATGCATCACTACGCATCTCTACGTATCTCTATGTATCTCTATGTGTCTCTACGTATTTCTATGTCTCCATGTGTCTCCTCTATGCATCTCTTTGCATCTCTATGCATCCCTACGCATCTCTACGTATCTCTATGTATCTCTATGTGTCTCTACGTATTTCTATGTCTCCATGTGTCTGCTCTATGCATCTCTTTGCATCTCTTTGCATCTCTATGCATCCCTACGCATTTCTACGTATCTCTATGTATCTCTATGTGTCTCTACGTATTTCTATGTCTCCATGTGTCTCCTCTATGCATCTCTATGCATCTCTATGCATCCCTACGCATCTCTATGCATCCCTACGCATCTCTATGTATCTATGTATCTCTATGTGTCTCTACGTATTTCTATGTCTCCATGTGTCTCCTCTATGCACCTCTTTGCATCTCTATGCATCCCTACGCATCTCTACACATCATCTCGAGCTCCTTCCGTGCGGGAGACACCTGCAGGGCACGACCGCGAGCGCGACCCCTTTGTTGCACGCCTCGGCGTCCATGTAGCAGCGGTTGTAGTAGGTGAGGCCGTCCGAGGCGCACGTGAAGCTGGGGTCCGGCTCACAACGGTCCCTGCACCTGCACCGCACCACGGGGCACGCCGGGAGATGCCCGCGGCCGGGGATTATAAATATACATACAACAAACAAAAATATCTCTATATATCAAAGGGAAACTTGTGATGATGTGTGTTTGTTCAACATGTTTAGCCTACTTCCCGACATGCAACAAACTTGAAATTTGCCATGTGGGCATTTTCCAGACTGTACACCATGAAAAAATTATAAAAATACACTTTTGTATTTTTTTTTTTGGGGGGGGGGCTCAATATTGCCTTTTTTTGCCCGGCAAGTGAGCTGTGACGTCACATCTGTCATATGACCCGTGTGCGGAAGCGTAACGCAGTGTAATGTAGTGGATAGCGCGCTGCACTACGAACCCGACGACCTGAGTTCGATTCTCGCTCACGGCCACCACCGGTAACGATTATTTGAACCGGTCCTGGGCCTCCCTTAGGTCGACTCAGCCTCAAACAAGTACCTGGTGTGGTGTGTGAACATCGCCACTGGGGAGACAAAGGCGGCCGGGAGTGGTAAATCCAAGTCCCGGGCGAAGCCGGGTAGTAAAGCTAGTACACAATATATTACAGGGACTCCTCCACTTGCGAACTTTCAGAGATATGAACAAAACCTGTCCCGTATGTCGAGTTGCTTGTTCAGACCAAGAGTCGTAAGTTCAACCGTCGCGCGATAAATGCCAGTGGTAGCATCTACATCTGCAGAACATAAAGAACCAGTGGCATCTACATCTGCAGAACGTACAAAATCAGTGGCATCTACATCTGCAGAACATCAAGAACCAGTTGCATGTACATCTGCAGAACGTGAAAAACCAATGGCATCTAAATCTGCAGAACATGAAGAACGAGTGGCATCTACATTTGAAGAACATGAAGAACGAGTGGCATCTACAGCTGCAGTAGACGAAAAAACAGTGGCATCTACAGAACGTGAAGAACCAGTGGCATCTGTATGTGCAGAACGTGAATATTCAGTGGCATCTAATCTGCAGAACGTGAAGAACCAGTGGCATCTACAACTGCAGGACGTGAAGAACCAGTGGCATCTACATCGACAGAATGTGAAGAACGAGTGGCATCTACATCTGTAGAACGTGAAGAACGAGTGGCATCTACAGCTGCAGAACACGAAGAACCAGTGGCATCTACATCTGCAGAACGTGAAGACCCAGTCGCATCTACATCTACAGAACATGAAGAACCAGAGGCATCTACATCTACAGAACAATAAGAACCAGTGGCATCTACATCTACATAACGTGAAGAACCAGTGGTATTTACATCTGCAGAACATGAAGAATCAGTGGCATCTGCAGAACATGAAAAACCAGTGACATCTACAGGAAATTATTCAACTTTTAAACCATTCCCCGTGTTTAGTGTACACTCTGTACAACGTGTTTGGAATCGCCAGGAGTAAAGTTGGACTTACGAACAAAAAGACTTCCGAACAAACCTCTGGAACCTAACTCGTTCTTAAGTAGAGAAGTCCCTGTATTGTATTTATATACAATACATACAGTAAACTCTCGACTATCCATGCTAATGTCGGGGACGATGGCCGCGGAAAATTCGAAATCGCGGATAGTCCAAAATATAGCAATTTCCCGCGGATCTCAATGTCAAAAACCAGTAATCTAGGGTATAAATAAAAATCACAAAATAAATGATCCAATAAATTACTTAAAATTAAGCACAGCTGAAGATTTCGATTGTTACTCTTTGTATTTAGAACGAATACTAATGATCGACCGATCGATATGCGAGATCAGTGATGACACTTTCCTGCTCCCGCCCAGTAGAAAACTCGGCCCACTAAGTGGATAACAGCAGCAGAGTCCACGCCAATCAACATCAACTCCGCCCCACTGTTGTAAAGATATGGCAACTACTGTACTAGTAGAGGCGATCTCACGTGGATTCCAGATTAACCTGGAGCAACTCATATTTAGTCGGTTTACTTTGTAATAAACATTTCCAAGAATAACAATGTTGTATCACTGTTTTTAGATTATTAATTTCGGCCTTACGGGGAAACATACATGCGATATTAGTTTACGTCCAAATCTCCGCAACTGGATAATCGAGAGTCTACTGTGACTCCAACTAAACTACTTAAACGTTTATAATTTTGACTAGGTAACGCCTCACTGAGCTGCGTAGCCTTTTTCAGAATTGACCACCTGGCTATCACAAATGATTGCTCAACGAAGTAGGATTATCATCACGTGGACATTTATAGCAGCCAAATATAAACTCTAAACGCCTTGATTCTAAATGATGAAGGGGAAACCCGCAGGACCCGGAGCAAACATGTATGTGACCCCGCGGAGAGAGACACGCAAACTCCAAATATATAGAAGGTGTCAGGGTTGAGATCGAGCCCACGACCTCCTGTATACCAGGTGAGGTAGTTAACATCTTCTAGCCACCGTGATGATGACGAGTGAGTGAGAGACACACAAACTACAAATATACAGAAGGTGTCAGGGTCGAGATCGAGCCCACGACCTCCTGTATACCAGGCGAGGTAGTTAACATCTCCTAGCCACCTTGATGATGATGAGGGAGAGACACGCAGACTCCAAATATACAGCAGGCGTCAGGGTCGGGATCGAACCTACGAACTCCTGCATACCAGGCAAGGTGGTTAACATCTCACCATGAGTTAACGTCTGACTCGACTCACCTTCCACGTGGTTGTGCCAAGGTTACAACAAACATCTGCGAGTGGTAAATAATGACAAAAACAATGATGACGGTGATGATGATGACGACGACGATTCCTCACCTGCAGATTGGCTGCCCGTCCCATAGGTCGCATCGTGACCCCTGCTGGGCGCAGATGACCCGGGCGCAGGTGGCTCCCGGTCCCCTTTGTCTCCCAAAAGGGGGTCTCCTCTGGTCGGCCGCGTAGGACGAGGAGGAGGAGGAGGTGGAGGAGGAAGGGGCCATGAAGCGGGAAGCCACGCAGCTCCGAGATCCGCACACGTTCTGGCAGCATTTCTCATGGGTTTCGCACACCTGGTGGTGAGAGTGGTGGTGGTGGTGAGGGTGGTGGTGGTGGTGGTGAGGGTGGTGGTGGTGGTGGTGAGGGTGATGGTGGTGGTGGTGATGGTGGTGAGTGTGGTGGTGAGGGTGGTGAGGGTGGTGAGGGTGTTGAGGGTGGTGGTGGTGGTGAGGGTGGTGGTGGTGGTGAGGGTGGTGGTGGTGAGTGTGGTGGTGAGGGTGGTGAGGGTGGTGAGGATGGTGATGGTGGTGAGGGTGTTGAGGGTGGTGAGGGTGATGATGGTTCTGCTGGTGATGGTGGTAGTGAAGGTGGTGATGGTGGTGATGGTGGTGAGGGTGGTGAGTGTGGTGAGGGTGTTGAGGGTGGTGGTGGTAGTGATGGTGGTGATGGTTCTGGTGGTGATGGTGGTGGTAGTGAAGATGGTGATGGTGGTAAGGGTGGTGAGGGTGGTGAGGATGGTGATGGTGGTGAGGGTGGTGAGGGTGGTGATGGTTCTGCTGGTGATGGTGGTGGTGGTAGTGAAGGTGGTGATGGTGGTGAGGGTGGTGATGGTGGTGAAGGTGGTGAGGGTGGTGAGGGTGGTGAGGGTGGTGATGGTGGTGAGTGTGGTGAGGGTGGTGAGGATGGTGAGGGTGTTGAGGGTGGTGAGGGTGGAGATGGTTCTGCTGGTGATGGTGGTGGTGGTAGTGAAGGTGGTGATGGTGGTGAGGGTGTGATGGTGGTGAGTGTGGTGAGGGTGTTGAGGGTGGTGGTGGTGGTAGTGATGGTGGTGATGGTTCTGCTGGTGATGGTGGTGGTGGTAGTGAAGGTGGTGATGGTGGTGATGGTGGTGAGGGTGTTGAGGGTGGTGAGGGTGGTGAGGGTGTTGAGGGTGGTGGTGGTAGTGATGGTGGTGATGGTTCTGCTGGTGATGGTGGTGGTGGTAGTGAAGGTGGTGATGGTGGTGGGGGTGGTGATGGTGGTGTTTTGGTGAGTATGGTGGTGAGTGTGTTGGTGGTGAGTATGGTATTGTATGGTGATGGTGGTGAGTGTGGTAATCGTGGTGAGGTTGGTGGTATTGTTGAGTGTGGTGACGTTGGTGAGGGTGGTGGTGAGGGTGGTGATTGTGGTGAGTATGGTGGTAATGGTGGTGGTGAGTGTGTTAATGGTGGTGAGTATGGTGGTGATGGTGATGGCGAGTGTGGTAATGGTGGTGAGTATGGTGGTGATGGTGGTGGTGAGTATGGTAATGATGGTGGTGGTGAGTGTGGTAATGGTGGTGAGTATGGTGGTGAGTGTGGTGGTCAGTGTGGTAATGGTGGTGAGTATGGTGGTGAGTGTGGTGGTGATGGTGGTGGTGAGTGTGGTAATGGTGGTGAGTATGGTGGTGATGGTAGTGGTGAGTGTGGTAATGGTGGTGAGTATGGTGGTGATGGTGGTGGTGAGTGTGGTAATGGTGGTGAGTATGGTGGTGATGGTAGTGGTGAGTGTGGTAATGGTGGTGAGTATGGTGGTGATGGTGGTGGTGAGTGTGGTAATGGTGGTGATGGTAGTGGTGAGTGTGGTAATGGTGGTGAGTATGGTGGTGATGGTGGTGGTGAGTGTGGTAATGGTGGTGAGTATGGTGGTGATGGTGGTGGTGAGTGTGGCAATGGTGGCGAGTGTGGTAATGGTGGTGAGTATGGTGGTGATGGTGGTGGTGAGTGTGGTAATGGTGGTGAGTGTGGTAATGGTCGTGAGTGTGGCAATGGTGGTGAGTGTGGTAATGGTGGTGAGTGTGGTGAGAGACCCACGTGGTCGGCCGTGCATTCCTTCTCGCAAGTGCTCTGCGCGTCGACCCAGAGGTTGGGGTTCACCTCGTTCGGACACAGCCCAGCGTGGGAATAGCGCACTCGGTGTGGGGTCGAGGAGCCCCCCAGAGACATGGGCCCCCCAACCACCCCCATGGGGCTCCCCTCAATCAACAACGGCAGCGGTGGCGGCAGGAGGGGCAGCAGCAGGAAGAGGGAGAGAGACGGATGGCAGTCGCGCGGAGACATTTGTGAATTTCTGCGGCTCTAAAACAGGAATGTTCGTTTTATCCACCTCCCGCTTTCAACCTTCTGGCTCTTGTATAGCTGCCTCTAGTGGCAGGCCCCCACCCTGTTCCGCAAGCAGAGAGCTGAGCAAAGGAATTTCAGGGTTGCGCACAAAGCCTATTCCCCGTGTCGTGAATCAATGGCCCATTCAACATTGACCTGGCCTAATGATTTGCTTCGTTGTTGTAGTTAGAGAGTTTGAAAAAAATTGCAGAATTAATGTATAACGTTTACAACCTTTTTGTTATTGGTGTTAATATCGCGTTGATTCTTAATTTGTTCAAATGTTGTTTTCATGACGATCGGCCGTGTTTGTCATCAAAGTTCAGCGAAATACGAATTGCGCATCAGGCTATCTCGATACGAATGGGAAACTCTTGTCGTAATAAGCTGCAGTTGGCAGTAGCAGCAGCGGCTACAATAATCAATAACTTTGCTCTGGAAGTTAAGCAAAGAAAGTCTCAAGTCTGTTGAGCAAAATGATACTCACATTGAGACCGCTGCCTCGTTTGCCAGATTCACCATTTGTGCGCACATTTTGTTACATTGATTTAACTCTGCCGCTTAATGCGATTGCAGTTGTAGATACTAATTAAGAATAAAACAAATATTACGTGTGCTTAATACAAATTGGTGATGAAGATGCAAAGAGATTATAATATATACCGAATATACGCGTACATTTGGTGAAGGCTAATTTTACAATAACAGCGACTGTGTTAATTGTATAATTATCATCTTATAGATTAAAATGTGTCAAGAGGTTAATCAACTCTCAAGATGTACCTGGTTCTAATCTAAAGACTCACACACAGACAAATATTCCCCGTAAAGCCTGTAACAGACTGTTGGGGCAAGTGCTGTTAGCAAAGCACATAATCAGACACATGCACCGATATACACACACATTCTAGTAGACACACGCACATATACCAACATGCATGCACTCACATGTGTGATATATGTACTCACACACACACTCGTACACGTGCAAAATAAAATCACATGCACGCGTTCTCACATAGGAAAGAGTAACCCTGGATACTCACATACGTCGGCTATACATGCAAATATATCAACACACTCCGCATACAAAGTGCTAGCGACTGACTTGCACAGAGATACAATCGCAGGCACAATAGAGGCGTCTCGGAGGAAGACGGGAGGAGTTAGCAGGTAGGAGATGTTACGAATATTCACTCTTGCCAAGAGTGAACGTGGGTTTTAAAGGAGCAGACGTATAGCGAGAGAGTGAGAGGGTGGGCGCTTTGGGGAGTGTCCGTGTTGTAGGTGGGTGAGTGGGGGGAGCGGTGGCGCAGCGGTTAGCGCTGCGTTGTCGCTTCGAACCCGGCCACCCGAGTTCGATTCCCGCTCGCGGCCACACAACACCCGGTGTCGATTGTCTGAACCAGTCCTGGGCCTCCCCTAGGTCGACTCAGCCTCAAATGAGTACCCGATGCGATGTGTATACATCGCCGCTGGGGAGACAAAGTCGGCCGGACGTGGTCCTGGCCACCCACCCCCTCGTGTGCCGTGCCGGCCTTCATAGGTGCTGCTACTCGTTACAGAACTTGCCCCAACAGTCTGTTAGCGGCTATAAGGTGGACCTTTGTCTTTGTATACGTGAGTGTATATGCATGTGAATGTGCTGTATATTGCTGGTGTATGTGTGAGTGTGTGTAGCTCTGTAATAGGAGCTGCGTTTGTCTCTAATGCCGTCATGTGGACAAATATTATTCGAGTTCCTAGCGCCTGACCTTTCATTCCTGCTCAGTGTGAGAGACTTAATAGAAAAACCACAACCAAAACACTCCGCCTGACACACACACAGATCACACACACACACAGACACACAGATCGTACACACATCACACACACACAGACACACACAGATCACACCAGATCACACACACACACAGATCGCACACACATCACACACACAGATCACACACACAGACACACACACAGATCACACACACAGACACACACACACAGACACACACACACAGACACACTTATCGCACACACATCACACACATACAGACACACAGATCACACACACACAGATCACACACACACAGATCTCACACACACAGACACACAGATCGTACACACATCACACACACACAGACACACACAGATCACACCAGATCACACACACACACAGATCGCACACACATCACACACACAGATCACACACACAGACACACACACAGATCACACACACAGACACACACACACAGACACACACAGATCTCACACACACACACATAGACACACAGATCACACACACACAGATCACACACACACACAGATCTCACACACACAGATCTCACACACACACACACAGACACACAGATCGCACACACATCACACACACAGATCACACACACAGACACACACACACAGATCACACACACATCACACACACAGATCACACACACACAGACACACAGATCGCACACACATCACACACACACAGACACACACACAGACACAGATCGCACACACATCACACACACACACAGATCTCACACACACACACACACAGATCACACACACACAGATCTCTCTCACACACACACACAGACACACACACAGACACACAAAGATCGCACACACATCACACACACAGATCACACACACAGACACAAATCGCACACACATTACGCACACACACACAGATCGCACACACATCACACACACAGACACACAGATCACACACACACACAGATCACACACACACAGATATCACACACACATACACACAAAGATCACACACACATACAGATCGCATACACATCACACACACACAGAAATCACACACACACAGACACACAAAGATCCCACACACACACAGATCGCACACACATCACACACACACAGAGATCACACACACAGAGATCACACACACAGACACACACACACATCACACACACACAGACACACATATCACACACACACACACAGATCACACACACAGAGATCACACACAGATCTCGCAAGGAAATGTCAAACGGAAATATTACACAGATCACGCAAAAAGGGAAATTACACCCACACACATAAATGTTACACAGAGGTCACAGAGAGAGAGATCTTTCAAGGAGATGTTACACAGATCACGTAAGGAGAGAAGATGTTCAAGAAGTTAGTATGTATGTTGGACAGTGCTCATTGGAGTGTATAGTCGTGAAGTGTTAAGTAGTGTAGTTGTGTAGTAGTGTATATTGTAGTAGTGCAGTGTATAGTAGTGTAGTGTTAAGTAATGTAGTTGTGTATTAGTGTATATTGTAGTAGTGCAGTGTATAGTAGTGTAGTGTGTATTGTGAAGTAGTTTGTATTTATGTTGAACTTCTTTCACACCGTACGTTTAGCCAATAGTGCTAGTCGTAGGTGCCGGGGAAGGACACAAGTTTCAAGTTTAATTTATTCGGTATAGCCCTGTGCACACAATGGCATTGCAAATGTAAAAACCAACCAATGCAACGTTATCGAGATGTGGAGAGGGACGATGCACGCTCCAGAGATGTTACTGAGAGTGGAGCAGCACGACGCGTGTGAGTGTGTGAGCGTGTGAGTGAGTGTGTGAGTGTGTGAGCGTGTGTGTGAGTGTGTGAGCGTGTGTGTGAGTGAGTGTGTGAGCGTGTGTGTGAGTGTGTGAGCGTGTGAGTGAGTGTGTGAGCGTGTGAGTGAGTGTGTGTGTGAGCGTGTGTGAGCGTGTGAGTGAGTGTGTGTGTGAGTGTGTGAGCGTGTGTGTGAGTGTGTGAGCGTGCGAGTGTGTGAGCGTGTGAGTGAGTGAGTGTGTGAGCGTGTGTGTGAGTGTGTGAGCGTGTGTGTGAGTGTGTGAGCGTGCGAGTGTGTGAGCGTGTGAGTGAGTGAGTGTGTGAGCGTGTGAGTGAGTGAGTGTGTGAGCGTGTGTGTGAGTGTGTGAGCGTGTGTGTGAGTGTGTGAGCGTGCGAGTGTGTGAGCGTGTGAGTGAGTGAGTGAGCGTGTGAGTGAGTGTGTGAGCGTGTGTGTGAGTGTGTGAGCGTGTGAGTGAGTGAGTGTGTGAGCGTGTGTGTGAGTGTGTGAGCGTGTGAGTGAGTGTGTGTGGCAGAGGTGTGGACTCGAGTCATGTGACTTGGACTCGAGTCAGACTCGAGTCATGAATTTGATGACTTGAGACTCGACTTGGACTTGCATAACAATGACTTTGTCCCACCTCTGAGGTGTGGACTCCCGCAGGTGTCTGCAGCGGCGCAGACGCGGTCCCGGGGAACGAGGGCGGCTCTCAGAGGACGAGGGCGAAGTTCCGAACGTCAACACTTTCACTGGAGGGATTGGGGGTCAACTCTGTCCCACCCCTCCTTCCCCCTTGAGCAGCATGAACCAAAAGGGGCAAAAATACATTTCTGCTCTTCCTGCCCCGCCAGATGGCAAAAAAAGTCTGCGGGCGCCATCAAAGAAGCGGGGGGGGTGGGGGGGGACTGCGTTGTTGGAACAAAAAAAAGAAGCCCTAAATGGAACCCTTCACTCAAATGTTTACACGGAAATCAAAGGGGGCGTCCGTCATGGACCGATCACCTCGATCAGCCTCCTTCAAACGCCTGCGGAGCGGGGGGAGGATGCTGGGGAGAGGGGTTGGGGGTAGCTGTGGGGTGGTGGTGGTGGTGCTGGTGGGGCGAGAGTCCGCAAGTGATTTGGAAAAATGACACAAAAGTGTTTTTTGGGAGTGCGTGGTGTTTTCGTCGTCCTCGGCTCGCCATCGAACGACAGCAGCACCAAGCGCAACGCGCGGCATCTTCAGATGCGCGCTTCTGTGGCCGTCTGGAACGCTCTTCATTCCGATATTAGGAAGCTACTGGGAGCGATGCACTTTAAATCATCATCATCTGGATTGACACAATCTCATTTCTTTAGAACTGCTTTTTGTGTGTTTAGCTTGTTGTCCTTCCCCCGCACACCTCCGATAATCACGGTTGGCTACGTACGGTGCGTATTTGTTTACCTCTGTACGTGTGTATATTTGTTTGTAGGTCTCTATCCTTACGTGTGGGTATGCATGTTTTTGTGGGTGCTCGCTCACAGCACTTTCCCCAACAGTTTGTTAAGGCTATATGGGGGATCTTTGTCTCTCTATGTGGGGAGTGGTGGTGTAGCGGTCTGCGCGCTGTGTTATGAACCCGGAGACCCGAGTTCGATTGCCGCTCACGGCCAACACCGGTGACGATTAACACTGTGTATCAATTGTTTTATTTTATTTTTGTTCCTGGGTAGTAAGTGCTATTTCCTAATTTCTCATTGAAAATAGGTAAATTTCACAATATCACTGTCCTGGTCACAAAAGTAAAGTTTGTGGAGAATAATATCCATTTTCTATACTTTTGTAGAGTGGTAAAATACGCGAGGGCAAACAGGTGCACGTGAGGTTTGCATGGACAAACCGGCAGCTGTAAGGGGCGAAGCAGGTGCAAACGGGGTCAACCGGTTGTGCACGTTGAGACCGGAGGTGTTGCCAGGAAGAGGAGGGTTGATTGATGGGCAAAAGGCACCAGCCTGGCGAGAGCTTAAAAAGATGCACGAGTGGTCTCGGATAATTGGCAGGGGGGTATAAGGGCGTGTGCGTGAGCGGATAGTTGTTGCCGGGGACAAAGTGAAGACATCTCTAGCCGTCAACGGGACCTCAACCCTCACGCCGTCGTCGGGCCGGTGTTGGCTGATCCCCCCGCCCGGGACAGACGGGTGAGTGGGTCTGAGGGAGCGTAGCTGAGGGCAGCGGTGGGAAGGTAGAGACGCTGTGTGCGGAGACGCTGTGTGCGGAGACGCTGTGTGCGGAGACGCTGTGTGCGGAGACGCTGTGTGCGGAGACGCTGTGTGCGGAGACGCTGTGTGCGGAGACGCTGTGTGCGGAGACGCTGTGTGTGTAGACGCTGTGTGCGAAGTTGCTGAGAGCAGAGCTGCTGAGCCCAGGATAAGGGAGGCAAAAGGTAGATAAGAGTAGGGAGAAGTTAACCATAAGTGACTGTACAGATAGTTATAGAAGTGCCTACAACTGGTGCAAGAATAGGTGAATAAAGTGTAAGCAGGTGACTTGTTACAACGTGTGAGTAATTTTTTAAGACACTACACTTTTTAGGCATAAGCAATTACGAAATAACACTTACTATCCAGGAATAAAAATTGTGTTGCATAGTGTTATCTGAACCTGTTCTGGGCCTCACCTAGGTAGACTCGGCCTCAAATGAGTACCTGGTGCGGTAAACATCGCCACTGGGGAGACAAAGGCGGTCGGGCGTGGTGCTGGCCACCCACTCCCTTGTGTGCCGTGCCGGCCTTCATAGGTGCTACTCGCTAACAGCACTTACACCAACAGTCTGTTAAGGCTACACGGGGGCTCTTTGTCTTTGTATCTATGGGACATTTTTTTACCGTTTCTGG